AGTCCTCGAACTACCTCCGAGTTAGTTCCGAGTTAGCCAGCAACCAGTCAGTTGTATTGTGGCATTTGGAGTGTACTAATTGTGATACTGCAGATAGCAGTAATCGTAAATCTGTAATTTGGGTGATTGTAAATGCGAATGTGAAATAAAATTCGCTATACCAAATACATCGTGAAGTTATTTGTCGCGATATACGCCCAATACGCGACTATATATATATATATATATATTTCTCATGTTCTGATTACCCTTATCAACAATAGGCTTGAGTCTGAGCACAGACACACAAAGAATACTTTACTGCTCTGAAATGCAATACATTTTTCAATTCCTGTTTAATGCGCTCACAAAACGCTACACAGAATTATGCAATTTTGTATAGTTATTTAGGACACACTGTTACATCATTTCCACTTACACTGCCAGTGGAAGGAGTATGCAAATACATTTCCTCATAAAATTCTTATCTCTACATACATATAGATCCCAGTCTCATATTTATACCTGAATTTCAGTGTTGCCCAGGTAGTACACAGAAACTGTCACTTCACATGCAAGTGAGGTATCTACCATGTTACTATGTAATAGATTTTTCAATTCATATTATATGAAAAACAGGAGATTTGAATCCTACTGAGTAAAAGGAATATTTAACTTAGTTCATGTTCTTAAAATTGAGATGTTTGTATATTCACATGACATCTTAATCTTTCCAGACTACAGGCTCGATACTTTGACCCAGTTACACAACTACCCTATAGCAATTTGCAAGCATTCCGTATCCTTCGTGAGGCATATTATCAACAGCTAGAGGGACGTGGAGATCGAAATAATCCTGATGTTGCCCGCTGGATTGAATGGAGACAAAAAATGAAGGAACTCAAGTCTGCCATTGTGCAGCAAATCAGTAAGAGCATACATCTTGAACCTGCAACTCTCCCAGTTACATCACAATGATTCTGTAAGAAAGTAGAAAATAATGTACTTGGAATATGATATACTGTATAATAATAAATTGTATATTATAATTCTGAATTTTTGTTATAGTAGATGTAATTTTTTTCATATGCAAATAATGTTTAAGGTTTTCTTACTGTTTCAACCAGTATTTAAGTGAATTTGATAAAATTAAGGTATGCCTTAACCATGAAAAGGAAAGCTTAAAATAAATGTTTCATTAAAATATACAGAAGTATTATTTTACCTGTCATTTTATGAGGGTATGAAAGTTGAACTCATAGCCTAAGAACCTTACTTCCTGGATTTGGGGTTCTCACAAACATCAAAGAGTATTTCAGCCAAGTCACACAGTATTACACGCCAGAAGACCATGCTATTCAAAACCTTACTTGATCTCATGAGACAGGTACAAGATTTTGCACTAAAATAATGCAGATGCTCAGTTATTTTAGGGAGATATTTCCAGCAGTTGCAAAAGCCAGCAAAGTGCAAATAGTACAGTATCTAACTGAGATGGAAATATGCTTCTCATGATTGCATGACAGTCTACTGTGCAACTACAGAGTCAACACAACTTATTCATAAAAGACAACACATATTTACCATATTTTACAAGAACTGCTGGAAGTGATCCCCTATTTCCTTCAAGGATGCCCTGAAGCATGTAAGCATGATTGCAACATGTTCTGAAGTTCATCCATGGAATCAAGCAACAACATGTTCCATTCTGTAATGCATTGGAAGTGTAGTTTCCCCAAATATAATAATCAGTTATGAAGATCAGCTGATCTAAGTCAGAGTTTGTTGTTGATTATTCTGTTCACATATATCAGCTATGTACTTAAGGGCAAAAACAAAGGAATGAACTTTGGTGACTCAATCTTTCCAAATTAAGAAACTGAGGAAAAGAATTTTCAAGGAGGTAGAGAGATGGGATGAACTTTAGACAAAAAAGGTAAAAGATTGCCTGGTACACGGTTTCACGAGGAATGTCAAGGCACCAGGTAGGTGTCAGTAAACAATCCACTCCAGACACATGTCCATGTGCACTGCCATGATAACCTCAAATCTCAGACCTACTTCTCATGAGAAAATAATACAAAAAACAGTATCATTCTGAAATTCAAAACAAAGTGGAGATCGCACTGCTGGATATACATATTTTTCCTAATAGTTTCTAAGTTCCTAACTTTCTTCTTGAGGAGATACTTGGTAAGTATACCAGTTATTGGTTAGATTCCTGTTTGAACATTCAATTTTCCCACCCAATCACTTCAGAAAGCCTGCTGGTGTACTGGACACAAAATTTGGCCCACCTCTTTGTTCTCCAGAATACCTTTGGTTAGTTATGAAGTATGCTGTTTGCTTGTTTGGTTTACTCTTCAACCTGAAGATGAAGGCACTACATTCCTCTGAAAGTCAGTAAACATCTGAAAGACTAGACAGTGTGACATCCCTCAAGAAAGTATCAAGGTTCATATGAACTTGGACCAATCACTGTCATGCCTTTTACAGCTGCTACTCATCTTCTCTAGGTCTGTTCCACATTTTTTACCAAGATTTGGCCTCGCTACAACTATAAGTGAGCGGCAGTCGAAATAGCTCAATCATACAGCAAATGAGTATGGGCTGAACAGCTTGGGTTCGATCAGTTCGATTCCCACCAGTACAAAATATTTCTCTTCTCCACATATTCAGACGGTCCAGACCGCCTACGAGGACTACCAGCAATTACGTGGGCCACCCAGAGCACACAGAGCGACCCAGAGGACCGTGAGTTCTATCCAATGGGCACTGCGGTCTGTAGCTGATCAGTCACCGCCATCTAATGCCGAGGTCAAGAACGGTTCACATTTACCTCCACTCCCCCATATAATCTTCATAACGTGATCTTTAACTAATTAAACACACGAGCAACTTTACCTCACAACTATGAGTGATAATCTCACCATTCCGACGATCCCGACTCAGTGTCGCTTTCCTTGCTTATGTCCCTGTTGTCACATAATTCCAAAAATATTCTCAAAATATTGTCATCTCTGATACGTCTTGCATCTTACAAATAGCATTGTCAAATTCTCCATTCCACGGGTACCTGGAAAAGCTACAAAATAAACCAGGCCAAAGCAAAAGTTTACCTACATGTCCTCTTGTGCATTACTACCAAATACTTAGCAACTTACGTAATTAATTCCTACTGAAACGCCATCTTGAACAAAGACTGTGTTTCAAACCTCAAAGGCGACAAGAAATGCGACAAGGGGTTCTTACGTCAAGTGAAATACCATCTCTTCTATGAATAAAGCACTCTCTACACCTCCACACCCACTTCAAAATTAATATGAAAATATCCATTTGTGAAGTTTATATGATGGCGAAAAATAATTTTCGCTCAATATTCAAGAAGTTTGAATTTTTAAGGTAAATAAATAACGAGATTCAAACTTCGAAGTAAATGCAAGACATGTGTCTAACTTTCACAACTTCATACTCCTCACAAATCAGATTTTACTTTAACTTAAATATCTCACAATGTCATACTTGTAAATACAAAATAAATCTCTTGGCTCTAAGTTATTGTCACTGTTTTCTCATCATAATGCAACATCCCTTGCGCCTTAACCTTATTCGTATCGTGCACACCTACTATATAACCTTGCACATATTTCGAAGTATTGTGCAATTCTAACCTTATTCGTATCGTACACACCTACTATATAACCTTGCACATGTTTCGAAGTATTGTGCAATTCTGTTAGCCATATAAAAGGGACACGATATCACAGACAGTGCTGAGTAATTCTGAGTGAATTTAATCAATGGGAAATTCTGTTCGGGCATTATTACGTGTTTCAGCAGTCGCAAAAGAAAAGGTAACATTTCCGTCTACATGCCACGCTTAACACTATATGCCAGATCTTACAGCACATGAAGTACTTAAGTAGATATTGGTATTTTAATGCCATAATAAAGAAAATACAGCTTACGGTAACTCAGTAATCAGAACAATGGACGCACAACTACACAATGAAAAATACAAGATATTTATGTTCCGAGGGAGCAATGTTATAATCTGACGCCTGATAAGAGATTATTGTTAAGTCACTTTCGGACGTTTTAATAATTATGAAAATTCCAATAATACTTCTTTCGCCTGTTAATATAAATGTGTCAGCCGTCATTTGAAACGGTTCTAATAGGTTAATTTTATTAATAAAACTTTCTCATATTAAGAGAGTATCGAATTCCAGTCGCTTGTTTTACTAAGCTACAAATTCTACCATGTAAATGGTATTTGATGAAGTTGCATACAAAGGAACCTCAAAGCTGGAAACTGATTTGCTTATCACATTTTTTTTATTGCTAGTGGGGTGGGACTAAGTCCCTTTTACTGTGTCCACTTCTGGCCTATTGTACCAGCCCCCAGATGATAGGTGAGGGTGATTGTGAAGCAATTGGTGAAATGAAGATTGGGGGGCGAAACTGAAGTACTTGAGAAAATCTGCCCCAGTGTCAATTTGTCCACCACAAATCCCACTTGACCACAGCCGGGATCGAACCCTGGCTGCTGCGGTGGGAAGCCAGCGACTAACCACTTGAGCTATGGTGCGGCCCTTAAGTTCAAAAGTTTGTACATGTCTTAACCGTGTCAGTGATCCCTTACACTACACTAAGTTATATTATATAAAGTACACAACTTAATGCAAAATTGCCATTCCAGTTTTTCATCTGTAAGCAAATTCACACACTTGACATGATTTTTAAGTTCTTCAACAGCATAAGGAACATAAAGGTTGGTATTGATTGATTCACACTTTGTTCTTGGATAGGAAAATTTCTTCTATGCAGATTTCTTCTGTATCCTAGTTGTGCCATTCACATTGCGTAAACTGTGATCGTGGAGTATAGTATAATAGGCATACGTACCTTCATAAACAGCTATGTAGAGTTCCATGAGCTGTCAAAGCTAAGTAAAAATTACCACAGTAATACCCTCAAGTGTCTAAGTGACCAAATCTGCACAGTAGCCAATTTCTCAATATTCATAGACTGGTTTCAAATACACGTAAGAAGCGACTTCTTGTGTAGCACATAAATAGGCAGAAGTATAAAGTTCAGCTTAATTGAAATAACACTAAAATTAATTACCCAAGATTCTGCCCATCAATATGACTGAGATATCCTGGTCCCCTCTTCCAAATTGCATTATTTTATTTAACAGATCGGGGATGAAGGGTCACTTTAATGTAGTGCAACACATACCAGAAGTACTGTGTTAAGAGTAGATGCTACAGATAAGAAAACTTGTAAACTAGAATACAAACGCTAAAGAAAATATACACTATAAATAAAGTATATGCTGTCAAAAACATCTTAAATTACATCATCATCATCATCATCATCATAATTCAAAAGTTGCTGAATTCCATTTTAAACATTCAACTGGAACCAGTAGCAACATGCCAGAAATCTAATTAAACGTGCAAAACTTATCTTCCGTAGGTTTTCTACTGAAGATACGACACTGCCTTAATGATTCTGTAGACAATGTATAATACTGTTCTAGCATTTAATTTTCACTTTTTCCTATTACAAGAATTATCAATATGATTAAAGAGTGGGTTCCACTCTTATTAATGCATTAATGACAAGAATTATCAATATCATTACAGTATGGATTCTACACTGATTCATGTAAAATGATTCACATTGTGATAAATATCCTAAAGAAAACTTGTCAGTTGATAAATAATATGTTTATTTCAAAGTAATGACAAATGGAGAACATAATCATTAATTTTTAAGCATAAAGTAACATAATGAAACCACTTATACTTTATGTAGAATAATTACATGGAGCCAATTTTGTCATCGGAAGCTAACAGTCAACAACCTAGCCAAAAAATCACCCATATTTTATGGTACAAAAAGGTTCACCTCTATATGTACAATATAAACTCCGTCATAAATGTAACACTTTATTGTAGTTCTTGTCCCCCTTCTTTCACACTACATGTTTCGGTCATAATCGGCCATCATCAGGTGTATTTCACTTCACATAGCTGTCACACTGCACTCAATATTCATCATCATCATCATCATCACTGGCATAACAGCCCTTTGTGAGCCCTGGCCTTCCTCAGGATTGCTCGCCATTCTTCTCTATTTGATGCTACATTCCTCCTTTCCAGGTCGACTTGAATAGGTCCGTCTGGCTACTCTTTCCTTGGATTTCTGAACAATTTAGTTTTTACAGTGTGAGGTCATTAGCCTCACGCCCAACCCCCAACCTGGAGGACCAGGGTATCCCTCTCTGTCTGGCTCCTACCCCTTGGCCTGTCCGGCATGGGTGGCTCTACCAGTAGCTATGCTACCGCCGGCATAGCTCTCAGGGTCTCAGGAGCTCTCAAACCCCACCACCACGATAAGGTGGAGATACCATTGGTGGGGGCACTCAATATTAACATTTAAATTCCAGATTTCCAATTGTTCATTTTCTGTCATCAATCGGCACCTGATATTCCAAAACTCCCCTGGATGGGGATGTGTGGAATGTAACAGGATGCTTAAATATAATATAGGTTCATCACCACCTTTACAAAAGTATGCCACGATCCTTCATCTCGTACCAAATGAATCCAATCCACACTCTTGCATCCAGTTACTTTAAGATCCATTAATATTATCCTCCCATCTGCACAGATTAATGACTCTTCCATTTGTGATTCTGGCTTCTTCATTACTTGTTAAATTATACCTGTTTATAAGAGTGTCATTTCAGTAAATATGAAATGTTATTCCCTACATAATTTAATCAACTTTAGAAACTAGAATCTCCAAGTGTTATTTCAGCAAATATGAGTTCTTGTGCCTTACATAATTTAAATCTGATAAGAAATGAAAAGTTCCAAAATAACTTACAATTATGAAATGCTAGCAATCATGCACGAGAGTTCAAACACAATATTCTAGTTCTTCTCCCTTTATGTGGGAGTAAAAGTAAAGCTGTCCCTGTAACAGGCCATGCAGGCCCATAGGGTTGTGAGACGTTGAGGGTCCCACATTATCTAGACAATCGGCTCAAAGATGGCAGTAAGGTTGTTAGCCTTATGCGCCGGCTGCGCTTTACTCCCCAGGAAAATTATTTAATTAATTCATGGTACTCATTTCTGTTAGAGGCTGAGTAAACCCCAGGGCCTAGTGCGGCTGGAAGGATTAGGTCAATTGAAAAAATCCAATGACCTCATCGGGATTTGAACCCGCAACCTTCCGCCTTGTAGCATAGTGCCTCAACCAACTATGCTACCGCGTGCATGGGGGAGGAAGAGTAAAGTAAAATTTGGGAAATATGTTAAATGTAACTACAGTCAAAGGCCTGCACTTAAAAAAGAAAATCTGATTGTTGCTGAATAGAAGGAAGTCCCCATTCATGGATTATATTGGAAGCAGTGGATTTGCATACAAACAGAAGGAAATCTTCAATCAGGAACATAAATAGGGGTTCCAACATATTATTGAACAGAATATCATGCTTTACAAAATTCAGTTGTCTTTGGATAAATGCATACATTTGGAATAGGGTGTTCCAAAGTCAAATCCATAACTAATGCCATGTACTTATAACAATGACATAGTGTGTGCCAATATACAGTCACAAGTATTTTGTCATAAACAGCGTCTCTGGAAGTCCTAACTTGCAATTTTGGTTTCCAATTAAACATCATTGTGTATGTATGTGAAATTCACACATCTTGGTACGAATGATGATAAAATTTGAAATACTGAAAACTCACATTGAAATACAGCTGTATTTGGCTTTGTTAAATTTGCTTTACGTTGTTTCAGTCTGATGATTGTGGATCTGTTCTCTCTCCAGCAATGGCTTCTGGGAAATGTTTTACAGATTTACCAGATGTGCTGTTGTTAGAGATTTTGTCATACTTGAATATTGAAGACCTTGCAATGTCTGTACAACATGTTAATTCACACTGGCAGAATGTGTCACAAGATAGTTCACTATGGAAAAACCAAACCTTCAGTCCTGGGTGCAAGATGACCGACGAAGAAATTGCAAGACATCTCAGGAATATGCCAGCATTACAAGCCTTCTGTCCAAGTGGAAGAATCAACACAGAAGTCATTGTTGATACACTGTGCAGATACTGTATAGATATTCGACATATAGAATTCAAGTATTTCCATGAACTGAGTAATTCCAGATTGCATGAAATTCTTATAAAATTTCCCAATATAGAAAAAATGTGTATCCCCTTCCCCATAGAAGATCAGTTACATTTTGCGGATCTAGTTGGACAACTTCAGAAATTGAGAATAATAATTTTTCACGCACATAATGTCCCAGTTGCAGATGGGGTACTTAGAGCAATTGCTGACGGATGTCCATCTCTGCAATGCTTAGATCTAGGATTTGGGATATTCCAAAATCAAGATGTTGAATACTTTTTGGAAAAAAAGGGACAACAGCTTTTGTCGTTCTGTTATAGAGGCTACATGTCAAATGTAGCCCACAGATTCTTGACAGAATGTGCAAATCTGGAATATCTCGTTTATGAACACTGTAATGAAGATCTGCCAAGTACAGACATACAGTGTCTCTCAAAATTGTCAGAAATGCGCAATTTGACACTAATAGCTATTAAAGAAGATCAGACACGAAATGTATCCACCATATTTAAGAATGAGTCAATGTCTAAATTAATTACTTTAGACTTATATCTCTGTGATGATTTTGATGGTTCATCATTAGCTGTGATTTTGACAAACTGCCCTCAACTCCAAAGACTTACTGTTCGAGACTGTGCACTAACAGATTATGGTTTCCAGTATATTGGTAACTGTAAGAATCTACAACTTCTTGATACTGCTGGTTGTTCTTTAATCACAGACAAAAGCATGGAATATGTTGGTGCTGGATGTCCAAACCTCAATCATCTTTATGTTGCACAGTGCTACCAGCTGACAAACAAAGGCATTGAATATGTTTGCTCAGGCTGTCAGAAACTGAAGTACCTCAGTATTCAAGGTTGTCCTGAAACGACAGATGATGTCATGGAACACATATTCAAATGCAAACAACTTGAGGTTCTTGAACTTTCATGTAATTCTCATCTATCAGGAATTCATTTTCCCCTGATTCCATCAAATCTCGTCCATTTGAATGAACTCCGTGTTCATGATTGCTTTTCATTAGATGAAAAATGTATGAGCAAACTTAAAGAAGAAATGCCACACCTGTTAATTGTAGGAAATTATACCAAAAATTAGGAAACTGATTTTAACCTAGCACATGCAACATATTTCATTTCTCAGTTACTGTGAAAATGAAGTAAAATTTGGTATACAAAAAATTATCTAATCCTCAAGAAAAATAATCTGTGAAATAATCTATACTTTGTATAAATAATCATACAGTATATTATTATTTCTTCTTATGTCTTCACACTGCTGATATTTTTTTTATCTGTACACTGTGTGATGTTTTACATTGAATGTGACTGTTTATTAATGAAACAAGAAATTAGAGTTGTGCAATATAGGAGGCAAAGAGTGAAATTAAATTATATATATAATAATATAATAATTATTTTGTGAATGTATAAGAGGTGGACCTTCTTGGCCCTTGCATCGCAACCACAGTGATCTATTGATTCTAACTGGGAAATTGTTGGATATGGTGTGCTTCAGGGATCGGTGTTGGGACCCTTACTCTTTAATATATACATAAACGATTTCCCACTTGAAATAAATAACATTTTGGAAATTATTATGTTTGCAGATGACACAAGTATTCTTTGCACAGCTAAAGACTACTATAATTTAAAAATAAAATTGGATGTTGTTTTTAATCACATGTTTACGTGGTTTCAAAATAATCAACTAGTGTTAAATCTGGATAAAACAAAAGTGATAAAATTCACCCCAACAGCAGCTACAAGCTACCCTCTATATACATTGTTTTTTAACAAAAAGCTGAAAGAAGTAAAAAACGATAAAATTTCTTGGTTTGCAGCTGGACAATCATCTGATTTGTAAGGGACATATCGATTTTTTGCTTCACAAATTGAGCACAGTTTGTTTTCTAATGCAAAAATTATCCTGTGTATTAAATATAAATAGTCTTATAGCTGTATATTATGCATATTATCATTCATTGGTGAAATACATCAGTCATAAGGTCTTTGTTATACAAAAGAAAATAATAATAATAATAATAATAATAATGATGGGAGTGGGCCCAACTCATATATGTAGAGATCTATTTAAGAAGCTTGACATACTACCAATCCCATGTGTATGTTTGCTTTCATTGATGACATTTGTTGTTAATAATTTGGATAAGTTTCAAACCAATAACTCTGTTTATGTAATTGGTACCAGAAGGAATGACCACCTTCACATACCTTCAACACATTTATCATCCTATCAGAGAGGGGTGTATTATTCAGGGGTCAAGCTATTTAACACTCTGCCGTCAAATATCACAGTTTTAAAAAATGATAAAAAGCAATTTAGGTTTGTTTTACAAAATTATTTGCAAAGTAATGTATTTTACTCTATTGATGAATTTGTCGAGCATGCAAGGGGCTCAAAAGTTAAGAGTTAATAAATGGTCTGTGTGCGTGAATTATATATTGTTGAGACTTGCTTGTTATAATTGTAGCAGTATGTATGATGTCTGTTTTAGTTACGAATTTTAATATTTTATAATGTAACAGTTTTAATGGTATGGCTTGCCAGTGTGTGTGGAATGGCAAGGCGTGAATTTGAGAATGGTTTTACCATGACGCATGTGTGTTGTCCTGACAACTTGAGCTAGCTGTGAGAGGCCTGATTATGTATTTTATTGGACAAAGGACGAATTATGTGTAGTCATCATGAATTTGTAATATGTGACATGTTTTATATCCAGCCCTATGGCGAGATGATTGGATCCATTAAGTGAAAATAAATGTAATGTAAAGAAATTCTTACTTCTGGAAATGTTTTTGTGCCATTTTGTATTACAAAGATGACCACTTCATGCTATTCAGAAGGCATAATGCTTCAGTTGTTTCTCCAATTAAGTTTATTCCAGGCATATTTGGGTAGCACTGTATGGTTTTTCCTGGCACTGTAAAAATGAAATGTATAAATCACAGTCTACCTTCATCCATGAACATGCCCAGAAACTTGGACTTATCCATCAAACAAATAGTTTACTGTAACAACTCTATTCATTAACAAAATGTCTTACATTTGAGTCATAGCCTTTGTTGTCTTGAATGAATTTTGTAGAAATGAATAATTAAACATCAGATATTTTCCTTTCGTTATAACATAATACAATTTTGGGGTTTGTTGGGATATTTGAACAGACTGACTTTGTTACTGATATTGGTGGGAACATTTGAGTGTTAGAAATTTGATCTGATTTCTGTCAGTAAACCATTTATACTTCGCCTTGGAGGCTATTCATCCTTAAATTTTGCATGTGGTATGACTGTTAAATATCTTTGCAAATAAATGAAGATCTATTTGTGATCTACAACTTCATTCTTCTTGAATGGCCAGGCTTTTTTTTTCCGAAATCCTACACTGCCAAATAGTGAGTTCTATACCAGTTTTGTGTCCACAGTTGAGGAGGGTTCTCATCTTCATCATCATCATCATCATCATCAGTAATCTGTCAGACGACAGGTCCACAGTCTCTTCCAAAACAATTCCTCCACTTAATGCGATCTAGAGCTTTCTCCTTCAAATGACAGTATCCTCTTCTGTCCCCAAGGTCATCCAGCATCTTCTTGTCACTTCTATCCGCCCCTCTATCTTTCCTTCAATAACTTCTTTTAGAAGGCAGTAACCGCGTAAGATATGACCAATCCAATTAGCCTTCCATTTTCTTATTTCATGTAGGATATTCCTCTGCTCACTGACTCTAATTAACACTTCTTCATTTCTCACATAATCAGTCCAACTGATCTTCTCCATCCTTCTCCAACACCACATTTCGAAACTTTCCAGATGTTTCTGATCTACTGCCCTAAGTGTCCATGTTTCAGCCCCATACAGAGCTATGCTCCAAATGTAGCATTTCACTAGTTTCTTCCTCAAATTTAAGTCCAATTTGCTGGTAAAAAGATTCTTCTTCTTGCTAAATGCAGCTTTTGCCATGGCAATCCTGGATTTAATTTCACAAGTACACCTTCCATCATCTGTTAACAAGCTACCCAAATATTTAAAACATTTCACATTCTCCAGTTGTTTTTGGTCAATCTTTATTGTGACTGGGGTTGGTTGTCTCAAAATTTTCATTTCTTTTGTTTTCTCCACATTCATTTCCATGCCATAGCACCTTCCAATTTCAATTAGTCTATCAATCATGCCCTGTAGCACAGTTTCTTCCTTAGCCATTAACACAAGGTCATCTGCATATTTCACAGTTTGAATAATTTGCCCTCCTAATTTGAAGTCTCCAAGCCCATCCAGAGCTTCCTTGGTAAGGCATTCGCTGTACAAGTTGAACAGAATTGGTGATAAACAGCATCCTTGTCGAACTCCTCTTCCAATCTGCACACTTCTTGTCTCCCCACTGTCCAGTCGTCCTCTAACTTTCTGATCCAGGAGGGTTGTAAGCATTACAAAAAAAAATCCATTTCATGCTCTACATAACTTTAAATCACCAATATACATAAACTTATTAATATCACTCCACTCTACATATTTCTGGTGGCTTCAGTGATTCAGCTGCAGTAATTATGATTATATATGTGGATAGCATAGTTGGTATAGTGACTGGCTATGGGCCAGACAACGGAGTGGTCAATTTTGAGTACCGGTAGGGTCAAAAATTTTCTTTTCTCCACGTCATCAAGACCATCTCTGGGATCCACCAACCTCCTATCCAATGGGTAATGGAGGCTCTTTCCCCAGGGGTATAGTGGCCAGGGTGTGAACCTGATCACTCACCTTCAGCTAGTGATAAGGTCAAAAAAAATGTGGATCAAGACATCCACTCCTCATATGCCTTCATGGCATATTGCTTAATTAGTTAAGCACCTCCTGTCCAATGGGTAATGGAGGCTCTTTCCCCAGGGGTATAGTGGCCGGGGCGTGAACCTGATCACTCACCTTCAGCTAGTGATAAGGTCAAAAAAAATGTGGATCAAGACATCCACTCCTCATATGCCTTCATGGCATAGTGCTTAATTAGTTAAGCACAGGGACAACTTTACCCCTGAAACAGAGAAAGTAATGGGAAACTGGAGAAAATAACAAGGTGCTTCATAATATCTGACAGACTAATAAGATACTGGTGAGCTATGTGACAGGGTGTGTAAATCTGGATTGGGTATAAGGTGTAGATACTATACAACATAATAAATTGTTACTATAGGATTCTGACGATGGTGTATAACACACTGATATGTTGGGATTTTGGACTTTATCCATCGTCCTGGTTTTTAAGATAACAAATAAAAACACGACGTTTCGGAAACTGGATCTGTTTCCGTCCTCAGGTGAAGGAAAACACCTTATTAGCTCTCATGGACTTAGCCTGGTCTCAGGTGTTTATAATCTTCATGTTTTGTGACATTGGTTTGTCCAGTGATTGAGGCTAGCTCTTTCTAAGGGACCCAACTGAATAGGTGTTTTCCTTCACCTGAGGATGGAAACAGATCCAGTTTCCGAAACGTCGTGGTTTTATTTGTTATCTTAAAAACCAGGACGATGGATAAAGTCCAAAATCCCAACATATCAACATAATAAATTGTTGTGGCATAAGCTCGAAGAGATTGGAAGTTCAGAGGCAATTTAATGTAATCTAATATGTCAGTAAAGGAATTCAAGAAAAGGACAAAGACCTAACACTGTTTCTCCTTTTCTCTACACTGCATGGAAGTATAACAAGTAAAACCCCTGAATGTTCAACTGGGCATATCGCCATGAAGTATAATCATGCTATTTTTTTTTCTGCCCTATACTCATACCAGAAATGATCCCTTTTTAGGAACTTACTAAAGAGGTATTCTCAAACCTGTGGTACAGACTTCAAATTCTGGTGGCAAAGTAAGGATCGCTAGGGAGGAGTCTGTACAGTGTAAAGATGCTGTCCAAACAATGCTGTAGCATAGCTTTGCTATTTGAAAAGTGTCACTACAAAATGCACTGGAACTTCAAAGTTATATCCAAACAGTGACACCCCGAGTTGTGTGAAGATGTCTGCAGACCCAACAGGCCATTACATATATCTAAATCCTTCTCCTTGGTCTACTACTGAAACACACCCTTTTCCAAATACCACAACTCCACAGCGTGCTTTTAGGCATATGGAAGAAGCATTGTAGTTGTGGGCCTTACTGGATACAGATAACTAGAGGAACTACTGAAATAACATGTTCTGTTATGAGCAAATATACAGACTAGTCAACATAAGCGACTGCAGTAATGAACACTACCCTCCACAAGTTTTCCAGGATATTTTTTCATGCACCAAGCATTTCCTCCCTTTTTATCCATTCACAAACCCAGCAGTTTGCTGATTATGTCCATCATGTGTTCGTGATCTAAATATTTCTATAAGGCCATTAGTTGCTGCTAATATAACTTCTCTCATCATTTCAACAAAAGCTACTATCATTAACAGTTCCCATGCAAACATTTGATGTCATGTGACTTAGAAATATATCATTTTGTACTGAATAACATGTCGCTTAGTGACATCAGCCTTTATAGGTCACTTATCAGAATACACAGGTGATGCGTGACTGCAGGCTACCTGTGTTGACAGTTATTGTGAAGAATAGGAATGCCTTCATCTCTTCTACCCTGAATATGTAGACAGTACTCTCTTGGAAACAGTGGTAATGGTTGACCGTGCTAATGGTGGCTTACCTCAGAAGACAAATTCTTAAAAAATGGGAATTATACATTTGCAAATGTAAGGCTCTCACAGCCGTTATTATCAACACTAAAGTCTTCTGGGATGTGATACTGTGTTTTTTTGATCTGGCCTGCATTTCACATTAACAGTTTGAGGACCGGTCGCATGATATAATGCTTTTGGCTTTTAAACGTGGTGGACCAGTCACATGATATGATTTTCGGACATGTTAGGTTGTAACACACTATACCTTGCTCTGGCGCCACCCAAGTTGCACGCAGCTGCATAATAAAACTCTGGAATGTTTGCTTACTTGTCAGTAACTTGACCTCGCTATTTTCTTAACCCACTATAAAGGAAAATGCTTTGCCTTTGTATGTATCAGCTAGTAGTCAGTGGTGGCATATGAATCAAGGACAAATTCTTCACCGATAAGCTAGCTGACCTGCCTTGTGAGACGCGTAGTCATGGTGATTCAGAGAGTGGCAGTGACAGGGGAGAACAAAGAATTGTGGCCACAGACAGTAAAAGTGACAGTAGCTCCGACGATAAAGCGGGTAATAACATTGCGGGCACAGTAAAAAATCTAAAAAAAAAAAAAATCACAAAAATCTAAACCCTGATTCGAAATTGAAATACAAAGCATTTCTGATGAATGTGGTAAAGGCCTGGGCTACAGACCAGATGGTGGTGGCAGAACCAGGGTCAGACACAGACTTAGCACGACTGGGCCCTTCAACTCCCACCCCACGCAGGCCTCATGTGGACCCCCCAGGGCGACTCTTGGGTGATATGCGGAAACATACTCTCATGAAAATTGTGAAGAGGGAACATTCCAAGGGGAAGCATCCTTCTAGGCAATGCCGTGTTTGTACAATTCACAAAAAAAGGAGTGTGTCTACATTTGCATGTTCTGTGGAATGCCACTTCATAAAGGGGAATGTTTCCAGAAATATCACACCCTCAAGCACTTCTAGGAGCATTGGTAAGTGTTCTCCAAAAATTTTAGTTCATAAAATTAATTAGGAGATTTTATATTATTTTTTAAAGTGAACAGTGCACAAGTTAGGATAGTAGGTTTAATAATGGTGGCCCCAGGGTGATTTAAATGTTTAAATCACTGGTCTGCAATGAGTTAATACAACTGTATGGCCAAGATAGTATATTAGCAGGGCAGTGGCTTCACTTGCACTGTCAAGAGGTTGGACTCTTTATCAATCCACTACACAATCTGCTGAGAACCACGAGCTCTAAAAAAAAAAAAAAAAAAAGTAATTTGAAAGATACTAACCAACATTTTGGAGGAACCTGCTGTCTTCACCTTCTGGGCACCCCAACTGTTTCAGAGGAACCTGCTGCATTCATATTCAGGATATCCTGACCAATATGTCTGAGAAATCTGCTACCTCCATCACTATGATACCCTGAACATGGTAGCAACATCACTATGATACCCTGAACATGGTAGCAACAGGTTCTCCAAAATACTTGCACTTTACTTCAACCTGCATGGCATCACATCTCATATGACCATAATATTTTATACACCTGTAGATTCTGTATGTTTCCAAGTATGATTTAAATTGATCTAGTCATGTAGCAAAGTTGCCCCAGAGGTCATCTCACTGATGATGCTATTCACTTTCCTTCAGCCCACAAAAGGAGATGTAGACCTAAAACACTGGGTGCATATAACAACCCCTGAAAATGCAGAAAAGTTTGCACTGGACAGACCAGACCTCCACTGAGACTACGATCAGAGCACCATTTGTACATAAATCCACAAAAATCAGCCATGCCACAACACATCAAATTGGGTCACTACATCCTGCTAGATGACTTTGATATTCTCACCAAAATATTTGCATTCCAAGATTGGATCATCTTAGCTGCAACAGACAGATTTAAGCTCCAGTGTAACAATGTGTGAACAAAAGATGATTTGTAAGATTTGAGGTTTTCACAGCGGTGACTATGAAGACAGCAGTCTTCTGGGATGTGGCACTGTGTAGGTATTATGTTAACCGACATTTCGGAAGAACGTATCACCTCCATCTTCAGGGTAGAAGAAAAAAAGAAAATACGCAAGTGAAGAACTGGTATGATCAGGTGCAAATAGACTAATGTCAAGAATAAACCCAGCTGTATTGAGTAGGAGGAGATGGGAGGGGGGGGCTACATGGGAAATCAGTAGAGAGGAGAGTGGAGGGGTCTAGGCAGGTTGGACCAGCAGGTAGCAGGCTTCGAGGAGAGGGCACTTGACTTGGCCCCACACAAGCCCCGCTGCTGGTTTTGCTACATGGACGACACCTTTGTCATCTGGCCACATGGGCCTTACAAGCTGAAAGAATTCCTGAACCACCTAAATAGTGTTCACCAGTGCATTCATTTCACAATGGAGACCAAAATTGAGGTCCATCTCCCCTTCCTGGATATAGATATTTACAGGAGACCCAACAGTTCTCTGGGCTATAGAGTGTACTGCAAATTCAGCCATACAAACTTCTACCTTAATGCTGCGTCCCACCACCACCCATCCAACAAGCAAGTTGTACTTTCCACATTGGTGCACAGGGCTAGAGCTCTTTGTGATCAAGACAGCATACATGCAGAGTTTGTGCTCCTGGGAGACGTTTTCAGGCGGAACAGTTACAACAACCGGCAGATCCGCAGAGTTCTCAACCATCGTCCAAACATCAGTCAGCCCGATGATAAACTGGACTCAGTCACCTTCCTGCCCTATGCAGGGACTATATTCAATCAAATCAGCAGAGTGCTGTCCTGGCACAACATCAAATCAGTGGGCCTGCCTCCAAAGAAATTATCTAGTTTCGTCCAGCCAGTCAAAGATAGCCTAGGACTGAGGACACCAGGTGTATACAGTATCCCATGCAAGTGAGGCAAGGTCTATATTGGGCAGACGGGCCATTCCATGGACATGAGATTGAAGGAGCATCAGCGGCACATCCATCTGAACAAGTCAGCTGTGGCTCAACACAGCTTCGATTTGGGACACCGCATTCAGCTTCAGAATACCTCCATCCTCACCACCAAGACCCATTATATGGATTGCATCATTAGGGAGGCCATTGAGATTGAACTCCATCCCGACAATATGAAGAGAGAAATGGGGTTCTACCTCAGCAAGTCATGGAAGCCTCTCATCTGTTCCCTCAAGAAACCCCCAGGACATGACACTGGATCCACAAGGCCACGCAAGTCCACACCGGACTCACATAGCAACCCCCAAGCTTAAAGGTTAATGCCCTCCCATTAACCTTGCCTTTTTCCTCCGACACAATATTCTATACTTGCTCTAGCCTGCAACCTGCTGGCCCAACCTGCCCAGACCCCTCCCCTCCCCACTCCTGTCTACTGATTTCCCATGTAGCCTCCCCCTCTCCCAACCCTTCCTGCTCTATACAGCTGAGTTTATTCTCAACATCAGTCTATTTGCACCTGATCATACCAGTTCATCGCTTGCATATTTTCTTTCTTTTTCTTTTACTTTGAAGATGGAGGCGATACGTTCCTCCGAAATGTCAGTTAACACAACACCTACATGGCGCCACATCCCAGAAGACTGCTCTCTTCAAAAGGTGATTTATTCCTAAGCAGGTCATGTAAGGTTCTCATTAATGCCTCAAAAGAGAGCAAGAAGGCTCTATCCAAGTAACAGTCTTGACTTTGCTCGCTTCTGCCCTTAAAAGGAAATTGTTTTAAATAATGGCTTTGTTCAATGTCTGCAATCTTGTAGTCTGGTGAAGGGGCAGGCAGTAGCCAACAAACTGAGTTGGCAAGATGTTAAAGGAAATGAAGGTTAAAGGTAGTGGTGGTGGGAGGATTCTAATGACAGATCACCTCCAAGCAAAGATGCACAAGAATGCACTGCATGCTAAACCTCAGTCAGGATATATGACAGGCTAATTTCATAAAGTGGAGCCATCAAAAACCGAATACGCCTTGGGTGTTTATGAGTGCACATATGCCTATCATCCCATAGTCCACAATCACAGTTTCCTCAGCCTGGATTGTACAACAAGTCTGCAGAAGAAAATTTACCCCTCATTGAAGTACATTTTTATCTTAGAAACACAATGCCTGAAAGTACTGAAACAATTACTTGAAGAAAGTGAGATGGAGGTGTGGCTAAGCTTGGTTCACTCATTCCCAAGCTTCACTTTTTCATAAAACAAAGTGACTGAAGGAGCTGACAAGTGTGCAAAAGAATGAGCACTAGCAGTGAGAACTCTGTATTGTTAAAACTACAAAAACGACATGAACAATTTATCCTACATATAATGAAGGTTTTTTTTAATGCTAGTGGGGTGAGATTAAGTCCCTTCTACTACGGCCACTTGTGGCCTACTGTACCAGCCCCAGATGATAGGTGAGGGTGATTGTGGAGCAATTGGTGGAATGAAGATTGGCAGGGGAAACCAAAGTACTTGGAGAAAACCTGCCCCAGCGTCACTTTGTCCATCACAAATCCCACTTCTCCAGGCCTGGGATCGAACCCGGGTCGCTGCGGTGGGAAGCCAGCGAATAACTGCTTCAGCTATGGCACAGCCACTTAATGGGGGTACTAACTGATCTACTATGAGATGGTGAAATGACAATGAAAGATATTTCAAAACATCAAAAGAATTTCATGATACTCTCTTACATTATTTGGTGGCACTGTATATGCACAATCAGGTTTTAAATGCCTTCCTTTGGATAAGATGCTTACAATGGAAAATTTTGACAATGTAATTCATCTACTACCTGCAGGGTGTGAAGATTTAACCATCAATCCTGACCAAGTTTTTTTATGAATGTACTTTTTACAAGGTCATCTATTGCAAAAAGAAAGTGAATGGTTCATTTCCAACACCACCCTCTAAGAAATGTTTTAAGGTGTGTGTACATTTCAGTGAAAACAATGAGCCACATGCAAAGTGAACTTGTATTTTGCTTTTCTGGTAGCAATGCTTCCACTAAAGAAGTGTTTGGCAATATGAATTACATCTGGTCTGAAAATATGTGATTTCATATGAACACATTATAAATCATCTTAGCAATGAAATTAGTGAAAAACTTGCATCAAATCCTGAAATACTGAAGAAGATAGGCCTATGTTCTTCAGATAAACACCATGCCATCACAAAGATCACCTCTTCAAAGTAATCAAAGTACAGTTAAAATAACTGCTTACTTATTACGTTACTACATTTATAGATTGTGACTGTGGTTTTGTCGCACTTTATTACAAGATACTCGCATACACTTACAGAAATCTACATCCCCTCTCAAAATAATCGCTGTTGTCTCCTGTTATGGTCCGGTTGAGAAACGCCCCATCTTTGTCAGCACTATCAATCATGTCACTGCAAATGCTCATTCAATTGACACGGTCTTGCATCAGGATGCATGGAACGCTGTGCTGGGTAACATGAGACATGTTCAGGTCACCAGACAGAATATTGCGGTAAGAACCACGGCTAATCCCTTCTGTTGCTGCTATTTCATCTACACTTTGGGAGTGCTTGGCATGCATGCATGCATGCATGCATACATTACATATATCAGCATGTCAGAGTAACACATAGTGTCCAATTGGCACTGAATATAAAACTTGTCAAGCAACAAGTCATAAGACAATCACAGATAAATCACAGAGACATCAATTCGATAGTTAAAATCTAAACTGAATACCTCAATTAAATATATACAATGTTACACATACAATTATACCAACAAGATAATTAGGAATACATAATAATTCTCCTTCCTACTCATATATACATATGCATGCAATGAAGCACTATAGTTGTCACATATTTAGATATAAATTGCACAGTAATATAATGGAATATACCTAAATAAACATATTTTTGACTATAAATCCTTACAATAAAGAAAAAATTCATCAACTGAATAAAACGAATTATTGATTAATATTTCTTTTAGTTTTCCTAGAAAAGTTTCCTGCCTTGTACCAAATCTCTTACACAGAGAGGCAAACTGTTGAAAATTTTAACACACATAATAAACTCCTTTTGCCTTACTGCTAAATGTGACTGTAATACGTGTAGATTCCCTCTGTGTCTTGTGGTCTTATTATGGACTGCATCATTCAAAATAAAATACTCAAGATTACTTATCATAAAAATCATCAAAGATAATATACGTATATTGAGAGGTCAATGTTAATATGTTTAGTTTTTTTAATACCGGCCTGCAGGTATCTCTTTGTTTCAATCCCATCATCACCCTAACAGTTCTCTTCTGTAAGAGAAAAATCTTCTTAGCATCCAGTGAGTTACCCCAGAAAACTGTCCCATACCTCATGACTGAATGAATATATGCGTGAAATATCACTGTAAGTGTTTCAATATTACTGCATAACTTCATATTTCTTAATGCGAAGCATGCCTTGCCCAGTCTCGGTAACATTAATTTAACGTGTGTTTTCCAGTTTAAAACGTACCTATTTCAAGGCCTAAAAATTTGATATTCATTGCATCATATAATAGCTCATTTCCATATTGCAATTGCATTGGCATATTTCCATGATTAATTGTTTCAAATTTTAACACTTTAGTTTCCTTCATATTTAAAGACAGGCCATTACTTGTAAACCAAAGGTTGCAACTTCTTGGACCCTGAATCAGTGCTGACCATTCTTGGCAGCCAGTACGCTCATCATTTTCTAAACTCTTTCCCTTGTGCAAAACATCTGCCCACTTTAAACATAGCACTACAGCCCAAGGCTTCTTCACCATATGCTTGCTTGATCATCTGAAATGTTTTGATAGTGGATTTGCCTAATTCTTGGCAGAACATGACATTTGCCCATTGCTCAAGCTGCAAAATTCTCGATTTCTGCCACTCCCAGACAACTACCCGTCACAACAGTGACTTTCTTTCTGAATACACACATGCATACAACTGCTTCTTACTAGGACAAGAGAAGAATGGACATGGCTCCATCTCGTGGCTCCAGTATCCACTGTACTGCATAACAGCGCCACTATGCAGCCAATCAACGGAATTATTGACTGTACTACGTATTGTACTGTTTCTGACCAGAAAATTTAAGATGAAAAACTGGACTGACACCGCTACATTAAGTGGTGCACTTTGTGATGTATAACTTAACCTAAACCTTCATTGAGACCATTTCACACATGTACAAACTTGTGGTTTCATGGAACATATGATGCACATCATTAAAACAAATCAATTTCTAGCTCTGAGGAGCCTTTGTATGCAGCTTTAACAAATACATTTTCATGCGAGAATTTGCAGTTTAGTAAACAAAGTGGCACGAATTCAGTACTTTTTACTACTGTAGCAGTTAAGCCCATTTCTACGCAACAATCCGAAACTAAGAGGTTGCCATGGCAACATTCCACAAGCAAAAACCGAGTACTGTTGGAAACGGGGTTTTCTATATTAGTCAGTGCAGAGGGGATATAAGAAGACCTACTGGATCCAGCGCAGTCTCAGTTAAATGGAGACCCGGTGTGAGCGCTGGAATATCAAAAATAATGAAGATAAGACTCAGGGGATCTACTTCACTCGCAGTCATCATCCGCCTGTGTCTCATCTTAAATTGAATGGAAGATATATTCCATTTGTAAATTGTGTAAAATATCTCGGAGTAACCTTTGATAGGAGGGTTCATTATTCATTCATTCATTCATTATTATAGGGGGTGGGTTTCCCCATGCACCGCCACTATGAGTCTATTGTACATCCCCCTTTAATTTCTATTGTTGCCATACCCTACCAGTACTGGTTCCAGCGAGGTCGGACCCCTTCTGGCAGTGGTACCTGATAACTTCCCCATCTACCGGAGGCATTGGAAACTACTTGGGCAGGAAATGTTTGATAGGAGGGTTAAATGGAGATTACACATAGAAATGATTGAAGTCAAGGCCTTCAGAACATTTATAAGATGGTATTCCCTATTCAAAAGTGAGCAATTAAATGCTAACATTAAGCTGACCCCCCACAAAGTTCTCATTATTTTTGTAATGACTTATGCTTGAAGAACAGGCAGAGAGTGATATCTGGAGTGTGTGATTCACTGAGACTGTTATAATTACTGTGTCAGAACACTTAGAGAGGGGCGGCTGTTCAGAGAGATGAGCACAGAAGCAGAGGAATAGCCACTGTTAGATGTTAGCCAGAAACTTCTAGTGAAGACATTGAAGGCTGGAAAGTTCTTAGCATGTGCTTGAGTGACTGGTAACATGTGGAAGTCAGCCCTGGCACTTTGGGATGCAGAAATCACCAAATTTTCCCCTACTTTCCTTTCTTAAACATTCAACGTGGATATTTAAGTATCACACTAAACACTGCACTGTGGAACTATTTTTTGTATTCCCCTTTTATATTTGCACTGAAATGGTTGAACTTTCACATAAGATTTTTTTTTCACAGAACTGAATATGAGGTGGTATCGGAAATTTCTCAGAATGTTAGTGTTGTAACTGCGACCATTCCTAAAAAAAAAAAATATTGCCCAATCACTTGCCATTCCCACTTAGAGTGTGTGTGCGCGCACACACACACGCACACACACACACCTTAACTTTATATTGCATAATGCCACTTGCTGAATGGTGAGAGAATTTCCTTCCTTTCATTTTGAGTATTGATATGTCCACTAACATCATTTATCAGCAACTGTGAATCCAAAAATCATTATGCAGAGTTTGCAACCACCAGTAACAAAAATGAAATATTCTGCATATTAACTTCATGCATGACTGTTATTTTACAAGGGTGAAATTTAATTAGTCTTATGGCTTGAATACAGATCCCAGTAAAACAATAGTTTCTTATGTCATGCATCTAAATGATTTGCAAGGACAGATCTCATATTGTGGTTGAATAACTTCAACTTCCTCTTCAGTCAGTGCATCTCTCTTTGACTGTCTACTTCTGTGATAAACTGAATCTATGGGCTGCTATTTTCAACAAGATTTGATATGCATAACTTTGTTGAAACTTCCTCGCCTGGGCATTTACAAGTGAACAGCTGAATACACTTGCTATAAGTTTTCTCTCACATGAAGGATTCCAGTATGGAAACTAGCTGCTGAAATGTATAACTTACCTCACTGCAACAGTAATGAATTCAGACCTCACAACACAACCTGAACAAGCAGAACCTCCAACCACTAACATAACAGTTGCAATATGACTGTTGATTGCACAATTGGCTTATCATGTCATATTATGCAGTCATCACAGCTAAAACATCTGCTGTGTTCATCGCTTCATTCTCATTTGTAATCTGCAGATTTGTGCATCAAACAAAATCCTAAGTAAGAAAACTAAAATAATTCATTTAGAAGAAACATATTCTTACTTTTACTCAAAATATGTACTCAAGGAAGTCGAGGAATCTTCAGGTCATATATACAATGAAGGCAATTTATAACATAAACCTACTACAATTACAATTCTCACTAGTAACATTATGCAGTTATAAATAAAAAACGAAAGGGGGGATCGTTCCTCTATTTTCACCTTTATTACATCAGTATGCAAACAGACGTATCCACCTATGCCCAGTATACTTTTCAATAGAGCCACTCTGTTTACCTGACACTGTACTAGTTGCTGAAAGTTGTCTGCTCCAAAGTTCAAGCAAATTCCCACAATATAGCTGCCATATATTCAATCCTGGCAACATAACAATGTGAGTTATGCCATAACAGACTGACTCCTGAAAGAATAAGAGATATACTATTCATTTGTTTTTTTGTGTCTAACCACAGTTACAGTACCAAGCAATTACTTAAAATTAGTTACCAGCATTTTCAGCTAGACAGAGCACCAACAAACATCACAGAAAATTCACTGCTGCTTCCATAGGCTGTTTCTGGTGCATAATAGCTGGACTACAATAATCACTTTCCCTCAATCTGAATATATAAGAATGATTTCTAATAAAGCTTTCAACAGAAATAATACATGCTTCATGGACAAAACTCCGTAATTCTCTTCTGGAAATCACATGATGTGAACTTCAACATACTGTAGAATTTTGAACATCAGCTTGAAATGTGCTTGGATGTTGAACATTTCACTTTCAGCAGCTACTGTAGTATCAGATATATAAGGCTTTACTGTAAACAAATACTGGGCATTGATGGTGAGCCCTTAGTTAGTTAGTTAGTTATTAGAGAGGGTGGGTTTCCCCATGCACTTACACCTGTAGTGGTCCATTGTGCTTCCCTCTATGATTTCTACCAGCCTCTATATCCTACCGGCATTGGTGCTTACCATCAGTCCCGCCCAGCCAGCGAGACCGGCTATCTACTGGCTGAGAAGTATCTACAATGCTTGCCCCATCTACCGGAGGTATTAGTGACTGCTGTTGGGCAGCAAATGTCCGCAATTTTGCTCAGTGACCTCCTTTGGAGGTATGAGGTTCTTTTACGTGCCGTAAAGCTACGACACGGGACCCACGGCTTAAAATCCCTCCCAGAGGACTTGTTCCCTGAATTTTTCCGCCCTTAAAAATTCAACGACCTCCGCCGGGTATTTGAACCCGCGTACTACGAGTCATGAGGTGGGAATGTTACCTCTAGACTACGGAGGCCGCTTTGGTGAGCCCTTAAGATCCATAAGTAAGGCTAATATTAGCCTTACTTTGATAAAGCGATCCAAAAGCAGGCATCCCACTCTAACAAACAAAAAACAAAGGAATGAACTTTGGTGACTCAGTCTTTCCAAATTAAGAAACTGAAAAAAGCTTGGCAGTTAAAAATGATTAGTGCTAAAGACCAAGGATGAACACTGTCATATGTAAAGTCTATTTGACATCATGATTATTTTTTACTGTTGTCTTATTTGTAAAGTGCAAACAACATAAATAGATGAATAACTGGCACATAATTCTATGACAAACTTTTGTTCATTTTACTAACTTCATATAGTAAAATCCCAACTATCCAACCTCTCAGAAATATGTTACAATACAAAGTATAAAACATATCATTATTAACTTTTTTTAATGAAAGGCAAACACAACAATTCCACAGTAAACTTAATAGAGTAGTAGAATTATTTAATAATTATAATAATTTAGAGTTCTATGTGAATTTTGTTTTCATAGAATGCCTACGCAGGATAAAATGGAATATGGGATCATCTGGGCTTTGCTATAATAGCGAAACAGCAAGATTAAAATTACCTTTTTTTATCTCTGATTTTAAAGGAAATTTGAAATAAGTGTAAATGTGTGTTAAAAATAAGATCTAAAAGTTTGTGACGATGGTATATTGCTACATGTATTATGTTTTTGGACATTAATCCATCATCTTGTCTATTTTTTAAAGAATCGTCCTATTTCTTTTTCAAAACACAACGTTTCGGGGACTGGACTCTGTCCCGGCCCTCTGATGAATCCTACTCAGTTGGGTCAAACAGATAGGGCTAGCCCCTATCTCCGGACCGGGTCCAATAGATAGAGCTAGGAGATAGGCTAGTTCTATCTATTGGACGCAACTGAGTAGGTTTTACCTGAGGACAAGGACAGAATTCAGTCTCCGAAACGTTGTTTCGATTAAGAAACAGGACGGATTTTAAAAAATGGTCAAGACAATGTATAATGTCCAAAAACATAATACTTGTGTTAAATATACTTACCAAAGTTGAGGTTGACTTCCCGGTCGGAGTTACGTCTCTCAAAAATGAACCAGCCTACTCAAACCAGGCCAATTTTGGCTAGTACAGATCATCAGTGCCAACACCGCTCTTTTTCGACTTGAAAATTCTTGACAGTTCTTGTCTGTACAGGGTTTTCATAGTTTTCAATTTTTTACGATCTAATTCCACGTCAATATTTTCAAATCCTTGTTCCCTAAGTTCCAGCACCAGCTTCTAGAACAACAATACTCTTTCTTTTTGTTCATGTAACCTTGATGTCGAATATTCCATAACATTTCGTACGTTTCATACAATTCTAAGAACTTCATTATTTCCTTCACACTCCACATTGGGGCGCTCATTATAATATAAAATATAAATACTAACACAATAAGACACTCGGAAATTATTTTCAAAATATAGGCGTAATAATTAAGCCAAAACACATACTACGTCACCCTTTCAACTTGCAAGTTACAACCTGTTGGTAGTTAGTTTGGGGTTCCGTGGTGTGTGGCACGTGGTAGCGTAGTTCAGGCTGGGCCCGTTGAGTTACTATGCTACAAGCCGGAAGGTCGCGGGTTCAAGTCCCGATGAGGTCCTTGGATTTTTTTCAATTTACCTAATCCTTCCAGGCGCACTCTGGCCCTGGGATCGACTTAGCCTCTAACAGAAATTAGAATCCAGAAATATTATTTGGGGTAAAAGGCGGCCGGCGCGTAGGGCTGACAACCTTTCCGCCATCTATGAGCCGATTGCCTAGAAAATGTAGGAACTTCAACATCATCTCGCAACCCTATGGGCCTCCATGGCCTGTTAGAGGGATACCTTTACTTTTTACTTTACTTACTAGTTAGGCTGATAACCCATTGACGTAACTAGCCGCGTCAGTGGGTTATCATCTTGAAGACCTTGAAACGCAGTTGAATGAAGGCTTCCACACACCAGAGCGCACCAGAGCGATCATCGTCATGATCGTCATCATCGTGGCGAAAACGTCTTCTCACACCAACAACGCGGTGGTAGCGATCGTAGCGATGGTAGCGATTAGTGTGAAAAATCCCGTAAGCACATCGTAAACGTTGCATCGATTATCACGTCTGGAAGAAGCATTACCTTTGGCAGGCGTAGTTGATGAGAGGAGCAGCAGCAAGCAGAGTGATAATTCCTTTTATTGTGTACAATGAGAGAAATTTGAGAAGTTATTATAAATATTAACATCACAATTAATTTTATATTAATTAATATATTTTTCAGGAAGAAGCACGCAAAGTTATAGTTTCACTGTCTCCATCAGTTCAAACGGTAAAAGCAGAGGGAAAGTCAACTTGACTCCTGTAATGTGTCCCCGTGTGAATTAGGTTTAAGGTAAGTAAATAAGATGTTTCTAACCTACGCAACTTGATTCTCATAACAAATCAGATTTATACCGTTAACTAGAAACAACTTACGTATCTCACGATGGCCTACTTGTAAATACAAAATAAATCCTTTGGGTATATGTGGTTTTCACTGTTTTCACGCCCTAATGCGTCATAACCTGATCCATATCGTACACACCTCCTGTGACGTTGCACATGTTTCGAAGCATTGTGCAATTTTCTTAGTCATATAAAACAGACTGTCGTGAGTGTAATCAATGTGAAATTCGTTTCGAGCATTTGTAGACATTTCAGCAGCAAAAAAAGAAAAAAAAAGTAACATTTTTGTCTATATGCCACATTTAACAGTATTAAGAATATACCAAATCTTACTGCACATTTAGTAATTCAGTAGATATTGGTATATTTGTGTCATCATAAGACAATAATACAGCTTTAGTAACTGAGTAATCATAACAATGGATGCACAACTACACAGTGCGAATACTCATGCACGATATTTGTGTCCCAAGCGAGCTATTGTAGAATCTGACATCTGGTAGGAGATTATTCTTCAGTCACTTTCGGACATTTGATAATTTAATAATTAAGAAAATTCCAATACCGCTTTTGCATATTAATATAAATGCCCCACCCATAATTTGAAATGGTTCTAATATATTTTCTTAATACAACTTTCATTTGTATTAAAAAGTCCTGAATGCCTGTCGCTTGTTTTACTAAGCTACAAATTCTACCATGTAAATGGTATTTGATGAAGTTGCATACAAATGCTCCTCAAAGCTAGAAACTGATTTTCTTGTAACAAAATACATCATTTGTTCCACGAAAGCACAATTTGTACATGTCTGAACCATGTCAGTGATGGTTTACAGTAAGTTCACAAGTTTGTACATGCCTTGACCAAGTCAGTGATCACTTATGTCAAGTTATATAACATGAAGTACACCACTTAATGCAAAAGTGTCATTCCAGTTTTTCATTTGTAAGCGAATTCACCCACTTGACATGATTTTTAAGTTCTTCAAAGCATAAGGAGCATACACATTGGTATTGATTGATTCACACTTTATTCTTGCATAGGAAAATTTCTTGTATGCAGATTGGGGATGAATGGTCGCTTTAATGTAGTGCAAAACATAGCAAAAGTACTGTGTTAAGAGTAGATGCTTTAGATAAGTAAACTTGTAAACTAGAATACAAACACTAAAGAAAATATACACTATAAATCAAGTATATGCTGTAAGCGGCCTCCATAGTCTAGAGGTAACGTTCCCACCTTATGACTCATAGTACGCGGGTTCAAGTACCCGGCGGAGGTCATCAAATTTTTAAGGGCGGAAAAATTCAGGGAACAAGTCCTCCGGGAGGGACTTTTAAGCCGTGGGTCCCATGTCGTAGCTTTATGGCACGTAAAAGAACCTCATATCTCCAAAGGAGGTCACTGAGCCAAATTAACGGACGTTTCCCGCCCAACAGCAGTCTCTAATACCTCTGGTAGATGGGGGAAGCATTATAGATACCTCTCAGCTAGTAGAGCCGGTCTCGCTGGCTGGGCGGGACTGATGGTAAGCACCAGTACCGGTAGGATATAGAGACTGGTAGAAATCATAGAGGAAAGCACAATGGACCAATACAGGTCTCAGTGCATGGGGAAACCCACCCTCTCCAATAATTAACTAACTAAGTATATGCTGTGTAAGATTTGAGGCTTTAAGTATATGCTGTCAAAAAAATCTTAAAATTACATCATCATCATTATTATCATAATTCGAAAGTTGCTGAATTCCATTTTCAACATTAACTGGAACCAGTATCAACATGCCAGAAATCTCATTAAACGTGCAAAACTTATCTTCCATAGGTTTTCTACTGAAGATACGACACTGCCTTAATGATTCTGTAGACAATGTATAATACTGTTCTAGCATTTAATTTTCACTTTTGCCTATTATCAGTGCATTAATTACAAGAATTATCAATATGATTAAAGTGTGGGTTCCACTATTATTAATGCATTAATGACAAGAATTATCAATATCATTACAGTATGGATTCCACACTGATTCATGCAAAATGATTCTCATTGTGAGTTGATACATAATATGTTCATTTCAAAGTAATGACAAGTGGAGAGCATAATCATTAATTTTTAAGCATAAAGTAACATAATGAAGCCACTTATACTACATGTAGAATAATTACAAGGGGCCAATTTTGTCATTGGAAGCTAACAGTCAACAACCTAGCCAAAAAAAGTCCCCATATTTTATGGTACCAAAAGGTTCACCACCTTCACAAAAGGATGCCAACGATCCTTCATGTTGTACCAAATGAATGAAATCCACACTCTTGCATCCATTTACTTCAAGATCAATTAATATTATCCTCCCATCTGCACAGATTAATGACTCTTCCATTTGTGTCTTTGGCTTTTTCATTACATGTTAAATTATTTCTGTTTATAAAAGTGTCATTTCAGTAAATATGAAATGTTATTCCCTTACTTACTTACTTACTCACTCACTCATGCAGCTGAGCCCTTCTGAAGGAGCCGCCAATTCTGCGGCTACTCAAGAATTTCCCAGCATTTTATGGAACCCAAAGGTTCATTACCATGTTTACAAGAGTCCTTCACTGGTCAGGCAGATCAATCCAATCCATACCATCCCATCCTCTCTCTCAAAGATCCATTTTAATATTATCCACCCACCTACACCTTGGTCTTCCCAGTGGTCTCTTTCCTTCTGGCTTCCTCACCACCATCCTATATGCATTCTTCTTGTCCCCCATTCGTGCTACATGCCCTGCCCACCCCATCCTCCTTGACTTGATCATTCTAATTATACAGCATGGGGCACAGAAACTTCCTTTTTTTCAAGGCGAATAAAAAAATTATTGCTGATAGACAAAATTTATGTGTAGCTAATGAAAGAACATACTTTAAAGTTTTAAATCATGTAGGTTTAAACAAAATATCTTGAAGGTGGTGGCCACCATTCTCTATGCACTGATGCAACAGTTTTCTGAAGTTCCCCTCTGCACGTTCTAACATGTGCACCAGAATTTGGGCTACTTCCTGCCGAATAACATTATTCACCTGAAGCAGGTTTGTGCCTTAAGGTATCCCCTTAAAAAAATCACAGGGCATTAGATCAGGTGAGTCTGCTGCCCACGGTATGTCACTTTGAAGCGAGATGAGCCGTCCGGGGAACTTTGCCCTCAAAACTGTCATTGAAGCTCTGGCTGTGTGGGCCATGGCACCATCCTGTTGGAACCAGACATTTCCTTGATGCATTTCTTCAAGAGCTGGTACGAAAAAGTTTTTAATCATGTCCACATACCCCTGTGAATTGACAGTAACTGCATGATTGCCTTCTTCAAAAAAAAAGGGCCAATAACTCCAACTCTTGACAACGCACACCATACTGTCACCTTATCACTGTGAAGTGGCCTCTCAAGGAGCTCTCTGGGATTGTTACCACTCCAGTAGCGCATATTCTGCTTGTTGACATATCCAGATAGGTGAAAATGTGCCTCATTACTAAAGAAAGCAAGTGCATTAGGGGGTAAATTTTCCAATAACGTTTCGCACACCGTTATTCGGTTCTGGAAATCACGTGGTGACAATTCTTGCACAACACCCATCTTATAGGGATGGAAATGAAGATGTTCGTGAAGAATTCGGCGCATTGAACGATTGGATATGTCTAGAGCGACTGCATGTTTGCGAGCAGAGCATCTTGGAGATCTCAAAATTGACTGTCGAACTGCCTCCACATTTTCTGGCATCGTAATGGTCCATTGTCATCCTGATGATTTTTTCACCACACTCCCGGTTGTCCTAAAGTTCTCTACCCACAAAACAATCGATTTCCGGTTGGGAACTGGACCTCTGGGCTTAATTCCGAAGTGAGTACGGAACGCACGCTGCTCACTCATCCACCTCACGTTTCCTACTGAGGGTTATTAGACAGAAACCTCTGCGGCTTCTGCATTCCCCGAGCCTACCCCCACTTTTCTGCGACCTCCCCTCCCTTCATAATGCGTCTTCAAAAAATGGAAGTTTCTGTGCCCCACCCTGTACTTGGAGAAGAGTACAAGTTATGAAGGTCCTCATTATGTGGTTTTCTCCAAACTCCTGTCACTTCATCTCTGTTTGGTCCAAATATTCTCCTCAACACCCTGTTCTCAAATACCCTCAGTCTGTGTTCCTCCCTTAATGTCAGAGACCAAGTTTCACACCCATACAGAACCACAGGCAAAATTATAGTTTTGTATATTTTAATTTTTATATTTTTTGACAGCAGACGAGAAGACAAAAGGTTCTGGACTGAATGGTAGCAAGCATTACCCGAGCGGAGTCCCCTCTTAATTTCCTCCTCAATCAGGTCTTGATCTGTTATTGTTGTTCCCAAATATCTGAAATGTGCCACATTTTCAAAGCATCTGTTTTCTATCTTTATGTCATGATCTTGCCCTGCATTTTGGTGACGAGACAGCAACATATACTTAGTTCTCTCTGTGTTTACTTCTAGACCAATATCCAAAATGTGTATATATTAACCGTCTTTTAGTGCATACTATTTCACTAGTCACTTCACACTACATGTTTTGACATCATTCTGCCATCCTCAGGTGTATTAATTACGTTAAACCATTGCACTGCCTGCCATCAAGTGTCCATTTATAAAATGATATAAAATGTGTGTTCGTCGTTGTTCAGTAATAAAATTCATATATTAAAACTTAAGATCTGTCATCTTACATGTCGTATATCAAACTCGTGTGTAATGCCATTTATCCACTATGGGAGTCGTTATGTTTTAATTGTGTATATACTGTGTCTTATGATGTGTCTTTCTTATGTGGCTGTGTGCGTTGTATTGCTTGACGTATGTGTGTGTGTCCAACACACACACAATATACACCTGATGCCAAGTGCTTACAACAATGACATAGTGTGTGCCAATATATAGTCACAGGTATTTTGTCATAAACATTGTCTCTGGCAATCCTAACTTGCAATTTTGGATGACAGGATTATTACATACTTTTCAAAGTAAAAATCATTCTCTAGGTGTGTATGAAATTCAAACATCTTGGTATGAATAACAATTTGAAATAATAAAAACTCACAACAGAGGACAGCTGTATTTGGCATTGTTAAATTTGCTTCACATTGTTTCAGTCTGGTGATTGTGGATCTGTTCTCTCTCCAGCGATGGCTTCTGGGAAATGTTTTACAGATTTACCAGATGTGCTGTTGCTAGAGATTTTCTCATACTTGAATATTGAAGACCTTGCGATGTCTGTACAACATGTTAATTCACACTGGCAGAATGTGTCACAAGATAGTTCACTATGGAAAAACCAAACCTTCAGTCCTGGGTGCAAGATGACCGACGAAGAAATTGCAAGACATCTCAGGAATATGCCAGCATTACAAGCCTTCTGTCCAAGTGGAAGAATCAACACAGAAGTCGTCGTTGATACACTGTGCAGATACTGTATAGATATTCGATATATAGAATTCAAGTATTTCCATGAACTGAGTAATTCCAGATTACATGAAATTCTTAAAAAATATCTCAATCTAGAGGAAATCAGTATCCCCCTCCCCATAGAAGATCAGTTACATTTTGCGGATCTAGTTGGACAACTTCAGAATTTGATAACATTAATTTTTCACGCACGTAATGTAACAGTTGCAGATGGAGTACTAAGAGCAATTGCTGATGGATGTCCATCTCTAGAATGCTTAGATTTGGGATTTGCACAATTCCCAAATCAAGAGGTTGAATACTTTTTGGAAAAAAAGGGACAACAGCTTTGTTATTTCAAGTATACAGGCTACATGTCAAAAGTAGCCCACAGACTCTTGACAGAATGTGCAAATCTTCGAGTTCTCACTTATAAACATTGTAATGAAGACCTGCCAAGTACAGACATACACCGTCTCTCGAAATTGTCAGAAATGGAATGTTTGAGACTTATATGTATTTCGGAAGGTCGAACACAGGATGTATCCACCATATTTAAGAATCAGTCAATGTCTAAATTATATACCTTAGACATATGTTATTGTTCTGATTTTGATAGTACATCATTAGCTGTGATTTTGACAAACTGCCCTCAGCTCGAAAGTTTTGCTGTTCGAGACTGTCTACTTACAGATGAGGGTTTCCAGTATATTGGTAACTGTAAGGATCTAGAATATCTTGATATTAGTGGTTGTCCTTTAATAACAGATAAAGCCATGCTATATATTGGTGCTGGATGTCCCAACCTCAGTTACCTCAATATTGCAAATTGCCTTCAGCTGACAAACAAAGGCATTGAATATATTTGCTCAGGCTGTCAGACACTGAAGAAACTTGATATGCAAAATTGTCGTGAAATGACGGATGATGTTATGAAACACATAATCAGATGCAAACAGCTGGAGGTTCTTGAACTTTCATGTAATTGTCAACTATTAGGAATTCATTTTCATCTGATTCCATCAAATCTTATCCATTTGACTGCACTCTATGCTATGGATTGCTTTTCATTAGATGAAAAATGTATAAGCAAACTTAAAGAAGAAATGCCACACCTGTTAATTGTAAAAAATAGTATAAAGAAGGGGGAAACTGATGTTAATGTAGAAGATGACACTGTCTACATTTATAAAGAACTGTGAAAATGAAGTAAAATTTGGTATACAAAAAATTATCTAATCCTCAAGAGAAATAATCTCTACTTTGTATAAATATTCATGTAAGATATTATTAGTCCTTATGTCTTCACACTGCTGACATTCAGAAATCAGCTGTTAGAATACACTGTGTGATGTTTTACATTGAATGTGCCTGTTTATTAGTGAAGCAAGAGATTCTTACCCCCAGAAATGTTTTTGCGCCATTTTGTATTACAAAGATAAACACTTCATGGCACATGGGCATGCATGTAGTCCAATAAATATTGTTACATCTTCGCGGGTTCAAGTCCCGATGAGGTCATTGGATTTTTTTCAATTGACCTAATCCTTCTGGCCGCACTATGGCCATGGGGTTTACTCAGCCTCTAACAGAAATGAGTACCAGGAATTAAATAATTGTCTTGGGGAGTAAATCTCGGCCGGCGCATAAGGCTGATAACCTTACCGCCATCTTTGAGCCAATTGTCTAGATAATGTGAGACCCTCAACATCTCACAACCCTATGGGCCTTCACGGCCTGTTACAGGGATAGCTGTACTTTTTTTTTATGCTACTGAGAAGGCATATTGCTTCAGTTGTTTCTTCAATTAAGTTTATTATAGGCATATTTGGGTAGCACTGTATGGTTTTTCCTGGCACTGTAAAAATGAAATGTATAAATCACAGTCTAACTTCATCCATGAACATGCCCAGAAACTTGGACTTATCCATCAAACAAATAATTTACTGTAACAACTCTATTCATTAACAAAATGTCTTACATTTGAGTCACAGCCTTTGTTGTCTTGAATGAATTTTGTAGAAATGAATAATTAAACAACATCAGATATTTTCCTTTCATTATAACATAATACAATTTTGGGGTTTGTTGGGATATTTGAACAGACTGACTTTGTTACTGATATTGGTGGGAACATTTGAGTGTTAGAAATTTGATCTGATTTCTGTCAGTAAACCATTTATACTTGGCCTTGGAGGCTATTCATCCTTAAATTTTGCATGTGGTATGACTGTTAAATATCTTTGCAAATAAATGAAGATCTATTTGTGATCTACAACTTCATTCTTCTTGAATGGCCAGGCTTTTTTTTTTTTTCTGAAATCCTACACTGCCAAATAATGAGTACTACACCAGTTTCGTGACCATAGATGAGGAGGGTGGTAAGCGTTACAAAAATATCCATTTCATGCTCTATACAACTTTAAATCACCAATATACATGAACTTTATATGACATAAACACCGTCCCAAGTGCAACAATTTATTGTAGTTCTTTTGTCTTGCCCTCTTCTACACTACGTTTCGGCCGCAAACGGCCATCATCAGGTGTATGCACTTACGTAACTGTTACACTGCATGTCCTTTAAAATTTAAAACCACAGGTCTTCACAATTGTTCTTTTCGTCGTTACCAACAGGTTTCGATTTATCAGAATCTACTTCGCTCGTATCTCTCTGCTTTGTGCATTATGTTTGTTGCCTACACTCATCAATTTTGATATTATGAACCGGCACTTTTAAAATCTTCAGTTCTAATTTAAAATTCTTTTAAAAATTAAAATTCTCAGGGTTACTCGCCCTATGTCTGTAGTGCTGCAGCGGCTGCTTCTTGTTTTCAGCACTGTTGTTCTTTGTAGGCTGCCTGTGTGCGGCTGCTGCTTATCTTTGCACAAAGCATACAGATACCAGCAAAGTAGATTCTGATAAATCGAAACCTGTTGGTAATGACAAAAAGAACTGTGAAGACTTACGGTTTTAAATTTTAAACTAGATGCAGTGTAACAGCTTTGTTAAGTGCATACACCTGATGATGCCCGTTTGCGGCCGAAACATGCAGTGTAGAAGGCAAGACAAAAGAACTACAATAAATTGTTGCACTTGGGACGGTGTTTATGTCATATATCGTATAGAGTGCAACAGGATGCTTAAATATAATATTGTATACATGAACTTACAAGGTGTGTCCCAAAAGTCATGAAATATATATTTTTTTAAAATTTATTGATGATATTGGTACAGAGTGTTAATATTCTTCAAAGTACTGTCCATGAGCATCTACACATTTTTTCCACCGACTCTCCCATGCCCGTTACGCCCCCTCAAAGGCCTTAACAGGAACCTCATTTAAAGCTGTTGTCACGGCTGCTTGGATAGCCTGAATGCTTTCAAAACGGCGTCCTTTGAGTGCAGTCTTGATCCTCGGGAACAGAAAGAAGTCGGCCGGAGCTAGGTTGGGGCTGTAGGGTGGCTGCGGCAGTTCGTCCGTCAACAATTTGGGGACCAACTTGGCGCACACCTTTAGCATGTTCAATTCGTCCATAACGATGCGATACACAACGGTTTTTGGAATGTTCAGAGTGTCGGCTAACAACCGGACAGTCATTCGATGGTCAGTATTCAACAAATCACACACGAGTCACATTTTCATCGGTTTGGCTTGTTGATGGCCGTCCAGAGCGGGGGTCATCTTCCACTCCTTCCTGGCCCTCCTTAAACTTCTTCACCCACCTTGTAACTTGCACATATGATAGAGCAGACTCCCCGTAGGCTTGCTTAAGCAGTTTGTGAGTTTCAGCAGCTTTTTGTTGAGCTTTGTGCAGAACTTGACCACTCAATGTTGTTCAAAAGTATCCGCCATTGCACGCCGTGACGTCGTCACAAAACACAGGTGCACTAAATCAGCGATACTGACGCCTCCGATGCTCGAGCAGACTGATCTTTGGGCGCGTTGTGAAGCTAAAGGCCTCCCCCCCAACCCAACCGGGTCCAGCACGCTCCGACCAGTAGGAGCACGGGAAAAAGATATATTTCATGACTTTTGGGACACACCTTGTATTACTATCACTCCACCCTACATATTTCTAGTAGCTTCAGTGTTTAGTTGCACTGCAGACTGTAAAGTTCTTAGCATGTGCTTGAGTGATTGCTAACTTGTGGAAGTTAGCCCTGGCATTTTGGGATGCAGAAATAATCAGATTTTCCTCTACTTCCCTTTCTTAATCCTTCAACATGGAAAATTAAGTATCATACTCAACAGCGCACTGAAGTAGTATTTCTTATATTCCCCTCTAATATTTGCACTGAAATGGTTGAACCTTCACATGAGATAATTCTTTACACAGAGCTGAATATGAGGTGGCATCAGAAAGTTCTCTAGAGTGTTATTGTTGTATCTGCCACGGTGAAAGAAAATGAGAGGGAACGCCAAGGTCACACTTCCAAAAGCCTATTGCATCCATCTGCCACGTGACACTGCACTGTGAACATGCATTGTTTTTACATGACCGCTTTTTCAACTTCATGTCTCATTTTGTCTGTGATGGGTGGCAAAATCAGACCAAGTGTCTGCATCAAATTTTGCATGAAGCTACAGTATATAGTATTGTTTCAATAAAATTTCAGTTTTAGTGTACAAAGTACATTTATTCCAATAAAAATCCTAATTTAATACGGTTTTCAATGTTAATACTGGGAACCCAAGTATTGTGGTTGACAAGACTTTCATTCAAGAGCAAGCATTTTGAAGTTCTACCTTAATGTCTTAGTGTGCTTATTTTTTCTACATGATAGATTATGGAACAAGAGAACATTTTGTGAACATCTGTATGACTGCTACATTTCTACTTAATTCAGTCTCAAAATGGCAATAAGATAATGAAAAATTATGTATCCCTCATTTCCTGAGTTACCTTTATAAACAAAGGACTTGGGTCTGAGCACAGACATGTAAAGAATGTGTTTGAAAACATTACTGCTCTGGAATGCAGTACATTTCTCTATTCCTGTTCAATGTGATCACAAAATGTACCTTGGCATTATGTAATTTAGTACAGTTATTTATGAAACAGCATATGCAATGCATTTCCTCATAAATTTCTTATCTCTACATACATATAGATCCCAGTATCATATTTATACCTGAATTTCAGAATTGCTCAGGCGGTACACAAAAACTGTCCATTCACGTGCAAGTGAGGAATCTACCATTTTACTGTGTAACAGATCTTCAATTCATATTATGAGAAAATTTACATTTGTGAACCTACTGATTTAAAGGGAGATTTAAGTTGGTTCATGTTCTTAAAATTGAGATGGCATCTTCTTGTTCAACAAACTCAATATTTTCATCCACTTACACAATTACTAGGTGGTTCAAATATGACTGGGACTGATTTTTTTGTAAACAAGCCGCACTGCACAGCAGCTGTGCGACCTTGAGAAAGTGAAGCCACAACCTCCACCCTCCCTCCTGTTAGGGTTAGAACTTGTTCAGTCCCCTCTGGGAGTTGCTAGAGTGATGAGTGAACAGAAGGTACCGCGGAGTGTGGAACAACGCATTGTGATCAAATTCCTCGTTGGAGAAAATGTCCCGTCTGCTGAAATTCACCACAGACTACAACAACAGTATGGGGAAGACTGTCTCTCACGGACCCGTGTGTTTGAATGGTGTAAGTGCTTCAGAGAGGGCAGAGTGTGTGGAGAATGAACTGCATGATCGTCGGCCGCGAATATCCGTCACCAAGCCAAAAGATCGTGCAGACGCACTTGTTCGTGAGAATAGGCACATCACTATCAAGGAATTTGGAGCAATGTTGTCCATCAGTGTTGGTAGTGTAGAAGACACGAAATACCACGCACTTTGATGGACGTGAACAAAATGGTGTGCGTGCAAGTTGCCAGTCGTCTCCTACAGCAGTTTGACGACGAAGGTGATGCATTTTTGAAGTCTATAGTGACCACCGATGAAACGTGGGTGCACTACTTTATTCCTGAGTCCCAGCAATCATCACGCGAGTGGCGGCATACCAGTTCTCCCAAACCCAAGAGACCGTGGAGGAGCCGTTCGGCAGGAAAAGTGATGGCAACGTTCTTCTGGGACTGGCAGGGGGTTATCCATGTAGACTTTCTGACAGATGCCAGAACAGACGATGCAGCTTATTACTCAGACCTCCTGGCAACAGACGCGAAGGGAAAGATCCGATCCAAGCAGAAGAGAGGTGGAAAGCGGGTAGCCTTCCTTCAAGACAATGCACGCCCCCATACGGCCAAAACAACAATGGATACCCTCCGAAAATTGAACCTTGTGACGCATCTGCCGTACAGTCCCGATTTGGCACCAAGTGATTTCTACCTGTTTGGAAGGCTCAAATCAGACTTGCAAGGCATGCGGTTTGTGGATGATGCCGTCATGCAGAATGTTTGGGAGTGGATACGCTGCCAACCACAAAACTTTTTTGAAAAGGGCATCAGGATGCTTCCAGAACGTTGGAGAAAATGTGCTGACTCCGGAGGGGAGTACGTTGAAGACTGACATGTGCAAGTAAGTGTTGGGCAATTTTGGTTTAAAAAAAATCAGTCCCGGTCATATTTGAACCACCTTGTACCTTATAGCAATTCGCAAGCATTCCATATCCTTTGTGAGGTATATATAATCAACTGCTAGAGGGGCGTGGAGATCAAAATTATCCTTCTCATTTGTAGTCAGCAGATTTGTGCATTAAACAAAACCCTAAGTAGGAAAACTAAAATAATTCATTAAGAAGAAACATGTTCTTAATTTCACTCAAAATGTGTTATCCAGAAAGTTGAAGAATATTCAGAATGCTGTATGTACAATGAAGATAATCTATTAAATTGTAAAAATATACCTATTACAATTACAATTCTAGTTGCTTATATCACAGAATTTTAAAATAAAAAACTACAGACAGGCTCATTCCTCCATTTTCAGCTTTACTACAGCAATATGCAAACATACAGATCTAACTGGAGGTCTTGTCTATGCCCAGTAAATTCTTCTATAAAGCCACTTTGTTGACCTTATATTGTAGGCATTGTTGAAAGTCATCTGATCCTAAGTTCAAGCAAATTCCCACAATATAAGTGCCATATATTCAATCCTGGGAACATAACAATGTGAGTTATGCCATAACAGACTGACTCCTGCAGGAATGAGAGCCATATAGTTCATTCTGTTGTGAATCATTCCATGTCTGTTCTTGTGATTAGTCAGTTATAAATTTACATCATGTATGTCATGTCTAACCATGGTTTCAGTCATAAGCAACTACCACATTAGTTACCATCATTTTCAGCAGGACAGTGCACCAACAAACACCACAGAAAATTCAATACTGCTTCCACAGGCTGTTTTAATGAGTAATCAGAGGACTATGATAATCATATTCCCTGGATTTGAATGTGTACAACTGATTTATAATAAAAACCAAACAGTCTCTTCAGGATGCCTGCTGGTGAACTGGGCACAAAAGATGCCCCACCTATTTGTTCTCCACATTACATTTAATTACTTGTAAATGGCATCACAAAGTTTTCATTACTTGTGACATACCTACTCATCCAGTGCATGTTCTTAAAATGTGCTACAAAAATGTCCATATAACATCTGAGCTTCTCACAGCAGTGACCATGAGGAGTACTATTGGGGTGTCACTCTGCTTCCATGGCTTACTCTTCAGCCTGAAGGTGGAGGCAGTACATTCCTCTGATGTCAGTAAACTTCTGCCAGGCTACATGGTGTCACATCCCACACAACAGTATCTTCAGAGTTTATATGAACTTGTACAATGGTACCAATTACTGTCATGCCTTTTACAGCTGCTCCTAGTCTCCTCGAAGTCTGTTCCACATTGTTACCCAGATCTGGGCTTGCTACCACTAATGAGCGGGCAGGAGTCAGAATAGTTCTGTCAGTACAGCAAAGGGCTATGGGCTGAAAGGCCCAGGTTCGATTCCTGGTAGTGCAAGATTTTTCTGTTCTCCACAGCGTCCACCCAGACTCCTCTCCAATGGAGACGCATAAAGCAGCTGCAACGTGAAGCTGACCTCTCAACTCTTTCTAGTGCCGAAGACAAGAAAGGTGGACCTATACTTCCGCTCCCCCATGACTATGTTGTGGTGTTTTTTAACTAATCAAGCACTGGGACAGCCGAGTGGTCTAAGACACACCGTCTTCGCTCGCTCGGAAGCTGGGATCATGGGTTCGAATCCTACTCAGGGCGTTGGTGTTTAGAGAGAGAGGGTTTGTGTATAGGTAGAGACCTTGCGACAAGCTGATCACCCACCCAAGGAGTCCTACCAAATGTCTACCATCTAGTAAACCGAAGTGAAATGGGGAGCCGCTAAAAAAAAGCATTAGAACAACTTTACCCTACGACTAATCTCATCATCCCCTGACTCACTTTCAATGCGTTATAACCCTGCTGTCAGATAATTCCAGAAATAATCCAAAAATATCCTCACCACTGGTACTTGCTCTTAGAAATTATATCAATTTTCATCTCAATGGTACTTGCAATGCACCCCAACACAACATCCAGCTCAAAATCAACGTGGAACTACACATATCCATATGTGCAGTTTATTTGATAGTGAAAAATAATATTAGGCCAATCTTCAAGTAGTCAGGCTGAATTTGTAAGGTAAATAAACAGCTTCAACATTTGAAGTAAAATATAAGATGTATTTCTAACCTATGAAACTTCATACTCCTAACAAATCACATTTATACATCACTAGAATCAACTTACATATCTCACCATGTCTTATTTGTAATGTCAATACAAACTGAAACTTGGCTATAAGTGGTTTTCGCGTCCTAATGCAAGACTATGCGTCGTCATCCCATGCATACCATACTGACTCGGTAAGATAACTTGCACGTGAATCACAATATTGCGCAATTCTGTCATAAAACACATGGAGACACTTCGTGTTATAGACGCTTCTGAGTACAGGTGCTGGCAGTCGATAAGAGATACTATTTGGGCATCTTTACGTGTTTCAGCAGCAAAAAAATAAAACAAGGTAATATTTCCGACTGCATACCATGTTCAACAGTATAAAGAATATGCCAAATCTTACAGCAAAGTAAATATTGATAGTTTAATGCAATTGTAACATAATTACAAAAGTGTATTAGTGACTAGTGACACGGGTTTGGATCAGTGAGTCAATTTATTGGATATTCACTAGTTGCAACTACAAACAATTATAACACATAAATAAAGTTTCCTGTGTATTTGATTTGTTTCATTCTGGTCCGTCACACTAACAATTATAAAGACAAAACAACTCCATCCAGTGTGACTACTGTAGTTTTTACTACTTGAAAACTTAACACCCTTACATATTTCGGTCGCTATAGACCATCATCAGAGGGACATCGATAATTTTTTGGAAACTGCTATCTCAGTGGGTGTTTTGAGTGTTAAAATACATATACATACAATGTTTGTAATGCACTATATATACAAAATACAACTTTTCCACAACTACAGCAGCTTTCTTGGTATATTAAAGTTTTTAAAACTTTGTTATTTAAGTTAAAATTTATAAACCAAGTAGGTTTGTTTCCCTTCTCCTATTGTCTTTCTTGACGGGGGCTGAAATTGTGCCGCCTGTCTCTCTTGAGGAGGAGATTCTGCAAATATATTATGGGTATTGTATTATTTCAGCGATCCTATGTATCTTATAGTAAGTAATTTTCTCATCTTGCAGTAGATGAGAAAATTACATACTATAACAAATATGTAGATGACATAATATAGTATAATCAAACAAAAATAACCCCCCAGTGCATCCTCGAACACTTCAGAAGACAACATAAAAACCTGCAATTCACAATAAATGAGGAAGTAAACAACCAAATAGCCTACCTGGACTTAAACCCATTTAACAGACACAGACAAATAGAAATGGAAATATACAGAAAACCCACAACAACAGACAACAATAAATAATAAATCATGCCACCCTAAAGAACATAAATTGGATACACAGACTTTTTACACTACCCCTTGAGGAAAACGCTAAAAACAAAGAATTAAGTACTATTATTAATATAGCACCAAATAATGGCTAAGACATCACACAACTATTAACAAATTTAAACAAAAGATAAGTAACCCGGATAATAAAGACAAAAAAGGAACAAAAATGGGTCACATATACCTAAACACGAAATTACACTTGAAAAATCACAAAACTATTCAAAAACACTAACATAAAGATAACCTTCAAAACAACCCACTAAATAGGTAAACTAATAAATGAAATTTTGAATTGTTTCATTTTGGTCCGTTACACTATCAATCACCAACTACCAATAGAACCTCCGTCGAGTGTAACAATATATATTCTTGTCACCATTTCCTCACATTTGCCTTACATGTTTCGGCTCACAAAGAGCCATCATCAGAGGCATCCACAACAAAAATATGGAAACACTTGCACTGCTCAACAATCANAAATGAAAAACGAGAAACAAACCCTTACGAACAAAGTGGGATATACAAAGTAACATGCCAAAGCTGCCATAAAGTATACATCGGCCAAACTGGTAGAAATCTAACAAGAAACATAAGGCCGGTCGTCCACTGGAACCGTATTCGTCCGAGTAAATCGTCGCCCGTATACGGCTGAATTCGGCCGACTGATCCCATGATATGTAAAGGCCTTGCTACACGTCTACTGCACATGACGTACTCGGCCGAATGCGACCGAACACGGCCGAGTGACGGACGGATCCCATTCAAATGGGATCAGTCGTACGTATTCGGCCGACTGTACACGTGCAAGGAGAAATCTTTGATGGATACTGAGAAACTAATAAGCCTCGTACATGAGAATACGCCACTGTGGGATATGCGAGATAAGCAATATCACCACCGTGACGTGCAAAGAAAACTTTGGTCGAGAGTTGCAGAGGAAATGGGTGTTGAAGGTAAGTGAAATAAAAATTGTGTTCGATATCACTTATTACAACACAATTTTACAATAACAAAGTACAAGCAACCCTGAAATATACTGTACCTAAGCTACTAAGTTGTTGGAAATACTTTCAGTCGTTCACTTCTTCTGCGCAAAAGAATGTCATAAATTGTTCTCGAATGGAATAAGCAGCATTGACACTACGATTCTCGCCGAGAGAAGAATATCTATTCCTCGACTGTGTTTGCTGACAAGTGAATGAAGCTACTGGCTCTTCTCCTTCTTTTTCAATTATGATGTTGTGCAACAAGCATATGCATTTGACAATGTTGTCAACATCTCCAGGCTCTTCAATTTCAATACTTGTTTGCAGCAGTCTCCATTTACTGCTCATTATTCCAAATGCACATTCTACCACTTGCCGAGCTTTCGAAAGGCGCTTATTAAAAATTGTTTGTGATTGTCCAAGTTTTGACATCGGGAATGGCCTCATCAAGTAGGTTTTTAGTGGATAGCCCTCGTCGCCTAAGAGAACGTAAGGTACCTTAATGTTTGTTCCTGGAAGAGCTGAGAGACGTCCAACACCCAGGGCTCCTTGTTCAAGTTTCTGGGAAAGGCTGGAATGCGAAAAAACACCACCGTCGCTCTCCTTGCCGTAAGCCCCGACGTGAATAGCTAGAAATCTGTAGTCCGGACCAGCTACAGCTTGTAAGACGATTGAAAAAAACTGCTTATAATTTCTGAACATACTACCCGAATGCCGTGGATTCTTTATCCTCACATGCTTGCCATCTATGCAGCCCACACAATTCGGGAATTTCCATTTATTCCAAAACCCTTGTACTATAGGCTCCACTTCGTCTTCTTTGGGGAAAGGAATGTGTAACACGTGCAAATTATCCCAAATTGCTTCGCATGTTTCCTTAACTATTCTGCCAACGGTCACGTCAGAGATTCTAAATGAATATCCTAGTGTCTTGAATGAGCAACCAGTTGCCAAGTACCTGCAACAACAATGCACAAATAGTACAAATAGTATATTATCGGTCACAGGTACACAATTTTTTATTTGTCATGAAATTGGTTTATTTATATCCAAGCAATTACTTACTTTTATCCATTAATTGTTGCTATCTATTTATGATTTTGTTACTTCTTGTTTGATTGCAGTTGGTCTAGTAAAAAAGAAATGGCAGGGACTAAGGGACGTTTTTCGAAAAGAATACAACAGAAGTTTACAAGGAAGGAGCGGAGACGAGGCGCCTCTTGAGTGTACTTCGTCATGGCCACACTTCCAAACCCTGCTATTTTTGAAGGACACAATTGAGCATCGAAAACTTCAAGGGAACATTTCACCTTCAAAAAACACAGCATCACGCACTGCTGAATCTGGATGTGTTTCTGATACATCACATGACTCTTACATTGACAATGAGTATGCCCCTTTAGAGCATTCCGCTCATGGTTCGCAAGAGTCAACAGATGGTTCTCAGCCTTGGACTGCGTGTGAAACCATGGATCCTCCGCCCACCCCAAATGTCACCAACAGACGCAAATTACGGTCAAATAAAAGTGCTGACCCATTTCTCCAAATAGAGAAGGAAAAATTGAAATTGTTTGCTGGAAACGCTGCTGCGAAGGAAGACAGTGATTACCAGTTTCTAATGAGCCTCCTACCATTTTTAAGGAATATCCCTTTCCACCGAAAACTTATAGTTAGACATAAACTGCAACAAGTTTTCATTGAGGAAGAACAAAATACTCTTCCAAACGTCAGCAATTTCACACAACCAGCAAACAGCGAGTCCCTTAATCAAACTGAAAGGGAACCCATGCAGACTGTGGCGTCTTACCTTTCCAATTTCACATAAAACGCAACTGGAACATCTTGAACAAAATTATTTTTCACTATTCCTATGTATACTATGTTGTAAACTGTAAACCTACGTGTATTTTTCCGTTCTTGTTCAATAAAAATGTTTGTAACTCAAAATGTGTACAACTTACCTTAATGTTAAAGCCAAACGCTCCTCAGGTGGTATAACTTCTCTGAAATTCGACCATTTCGTTATTGAGGGCTGAATAGCCATTAAAGTATACTGAAATGTCTCCATGTTCATCCTATAGTAGTCGCAAAATTTTTCCCCGTTTCTCTTCAACTCCTCATGTAGGTGATGGAATTCTCCCAGAATTCTTCTTTTGATTAATATGGGACTGACCCAGTACTTCCTTCGCTTTCGCTGCATTCTTCGCCTCACGAGATATGGATTTTCCAGGAAATACAGATCATCATCCATTTTGTAACAACAAACACGCGGTTCACTGGCGATACAAGGCCACACTGACGGAGCGGCACTGTGTCGGATGTAATTCGGCTGCAGTGGACGAGGTTTTAAATCGGACGACCTGGTCGGCCGTATACGGGCCACGGAAGATACGGTTCCAGTGGACGACCAGGCTAAGACTAAACAAAGACGAATCAGCATTTGCCCAACACATACTAAATAAACACCATCAGTACGGACCAATGACAGTAATCATGGAAATGATTGAGAAAGCCAAAAATGGAGGTATCATGAATATAAAAAAAAAGTACTTCCATATATATTGCTTTAATAAGTTCAGTAAATTGACAGAAGAACAAAAACATACAAAAGAAAGTAATAACCAACGTAACATGTTCGACCTCATAATACAACATCAGAACACGCCCACATTAACGTCACAGACACAGGAAGTAAAAATTATGCGGCACAGCACTCTCTAGAACAGTAAAAACAACTCGGGACAATACCAAGGTAGGACGAAACAACAAAATCCTTAAAATATATGTATACATATACACACAACAGGGTCGCTGAAATAATACAATACCCATAATATATTTGCAGAATCTCCTTCTCAAGAGAGACAGGCGGCATAAGTTCAGCCCCCATCAAGAAAGACAATAGGAGAAGGGAAATGAACCTACTTGGTTTATAAATTTTAACTTAAATAACAAAGTTTTAAAAACTTTAATATGCCAAGAAAGCTGCTGTAGTTGTGGAAAGGTTGGATTTTGTATATATTGTGCATTACAAACATTGTATATGTATGTATTTTAACACTCAAAACACCCACTGAGATGGTAGTTTCCAAAAAGTATTGATGTCCCTCTGATGATGGTCTATAGCGACTGAAACATATAAGGGTGTTAAGTTTTCAAGTAGTAAAAACTTCAATAGTCACACTGGACAGAGTTGCTTTGTCTTTGTTTCCAGTGTATGCTTACACTGTTGTTGCTAGGTAACAGATCTAAACAATGACTGTTCCTCTGCAGAGATTTCCCAATCCGTTTCCTGGCAATGGATTTTTTTTTGCACAGGAACTGTCACATTCCAGATATCACTGCATTACAGCACACATAAAGTCTTCACAGGCTGACATCTTGCACTGTTCTGTACTCATAGTTCGAGTTCGTCCTGAACTTACAGTTCATGGCTCTCGTTTGCTGCGGAACGGACATTAATCTACAGTAATCAGCACGTGATCGCTATCCAGCCAGTAGGTTGGCTCTACAGAAAAAAACAGCTTTCTCTATTGTTGCCTGTTGTGCCGTGTTTACGGACATGTTGAAGTGATCCTTTGCTTTCGATGAATGCCGCTGGGTTGAGTACCTCCTGACCACCAGACTTATAGCCTGCTAACACACCTTGGACAAAGTCAAGTGCACACCTTACCTGAGGTAACCACAAGACCTAACTTTAACCTTTACAGGTATTACATACTGCAGAATCCCACTGGCACCCAAAAAGATCCTTAAGTTATAAACTTTCTACAAGTACAACCAATCATTCATACTACAGACTTACATATGGAAGCCCCTATCAAGAAAGATTAACTTGATAAAGGTGTGTGAAGTTGAAGTATATAGCTTCACACATTCTTAACCTCAGCATACCACACAGGTAACTGGTCAGCTTCATGGTCTCACTTGTTTTACCCAAGGGAAAGATACCCATGTAACCACTGAATGAAGGTTGACTGGACACCAAAGCCTGCCCGGATACAGTGACAAGAAAAATTCTTGACTTTATCAAGAAATAAAGCAAGGTCATTCAACCACTGCCAGTCACTATACTAAATGAGCTCTATCAGCTCTTTCTGTTGCAAGTATGACTCGTTTTCTTATACAGAGAGTTTTTTAAATCTGTAGACTGGTTCATAACTCTGCACTTCACGGCGATAGGTTGTGCCACTTGCCATGACATCCATACGAATTTTGCAGACAAATCAACATGCTTGCTGGCCAATAACATTCAGAATGAAGAGAAGTAATTAACTTTTGGACAGCTTGACAGCATTATGTTTCACAGTGAGCAGTACAGTACATGGGAGTTTAAGATTTTTCAGCAGTAGGAAGCAGTTATCAGCTCCATTAGCCTACTTCCTAGTTACAGTTAGTGAGTAGAGTGGTATTTCTATATGACACCTATGTGAAATACAGATCAGCAATTAAGTGCCAGCAAAAATTTTGTGATGAAAGAGTTCCCAGCAGACAATTTACAATTTGATAAATAAACTTCAAATAGGACTTGTAATACAGAAGAAACAAAACATAAGCTTTAAGTGCTTACCGAGAAGTAGTTAGATGACACAGAGACCAGACATACACCTCAAAAATCACTCAAATGCCTAGTTCAAGAGATTGGAGTGTCAGAATCTATTGCAAGAAAGGAAACACAATCGCTGAAGCTTAACCCCTATAAAACAACAGTAATCCATGCCTTGCAGCCACGTGATCCAGCTAGAAGGGTTCATTTTTGCAGTTGGTTTCTAGTCTTGTCATCAAAGAAGAGCTCCATCAGCAACTGACATGGCTATTTTCAACACCTGTGATCTATTCCAAACTGTATCAGCCATCAGGCACGATGTTTCATCTGCAGAATTCATATGCACCTCGTAATGTACCTGTCAACATGAGGTTCAGAGCCATGGAACTGGTCAACAAAGTAAAAATCCTCAGTTTAAGGTCTTTCATTCTGGTCCGTCACACTAACCAATTAACAATCAAATTCCTTCCGTCAAATGTGACACTTTTTTAAGTTTTCCACCTCGTCACCACCTGCCTTACATGTTTCGGCTCACCACGGAGCCATCATCAGAGGCATTTATAGTAGAAAAAGAAATCACCAACACACAAAACTTCACTTTGTCCAAGATAGCCACGTTCCAGTTAATTAAAATAATTACAAATAGTTAAAATTACCCAGA